CGGCAATCCACTTACCTCAGCCTCCCAAGGTGCAGGATTACAGGCTGAGCCACCGAGCCCGGCTATCTTTTTTTTTTTTTCATTAATAAGAGTCATGGCTGGGCATGGTGGCTGGCACCTGTAATCTCAGCACTTTGGAAGGTAGAGGTGAGAGGACTGCCTGAGCCCAGGGATTTGAGACCAGCCTGAGCAACCTGAAAAGACCTTATCTCTACAATAAATCAAAAAATTAGCTGGGCATGGTGGTGCATGCCTGTAGTTCCAGCTACTTGGAAGGTTGAGACGGAAGGATCGTCTGAGCCCAGCAGGGTCGAGGCTGCAGTGGCCATGAGCATGCCACTGTACTCCAGCCTGGACCACAGAGTAAGATTCCAACTCAAAAAAAAAAAGAAAAGAAAAAGAAAACTCTTCCAGATTCCATGGTACTTAGGGACAGATCTTTCATTTCTTTTATAATTTTATTTTATTTATTTTTTGAGTCAGGTTCTTACTCTGTCTCCCAGGCTAGAGTAGAGTACAGTGGTAAAACATGGCTCACCCCAGCCTCAAGTTCCTGGGCTACCTGCCTACCTCAGCCTCCAAGTAGCTGGGATACAGGTGCATGCCACTACGCCAGGCTAAGTTTTTTCAAGAGACAAGTTCTCGCTATATTGACTAGGCTGGTCTTGAACTTCTGGGGCTCAAGCGATCCTCCAGCCTCGGCTTCCCAAAGTGCTGAGATTACAGGCGTGAGCCACCCCATCTGGCCTCTTGTTATAATTTTACCACCTCATGCCGTAAAAGGTGTTCAATACATGTTTGAATGATTTCACTGTAGTTTTCTCCTATCAATTCAAATCCCCTCCGTTGGCCATACACCTCCTCAGATATCTGCAGATAGTTATTAGAACAGCACGTGGAAGGTAGTGAGTTGTGGTTGCTCTTGTTCTTCCCCTGTAAGTCCCTCCTTCATACTTTTGTGATAATAAACTACCTCAAATGCAAACCAGCCAGGCGCGGCCTGTGCCTGTGGTTCCAGCTACTCAGGAGGCTGAGGAGGGAGGGTCGCCTGAGCCCAGGAGGTCGAGGCTTCAGTGAGCTGCAATCACATCTGTGACTAGCCACTGCACTGCAGCCTGGGAAGCATAGCACAGCCCTGTCTCTAACAATGCGTCCATAAAGTAAAATGCAGATTCAAATGTGTCACTCTCTTGCATTTACAGAAACATTCAGTGATTCCGAGCTGTCAGTGGCAGTGGTACTTGGTCGATTTTCACCTCTGGGAGCCCGTTTTAGAATATGCCTTCCTCAGAAACACACGTGCACTCCTCACTTTACCTTCCTCACCCACTCACCGTTACTGCTTGCGTCGCATCACTTCTGCTTAAGAGCCGCAAGGGGCTCCCTGTTCCACCCGACAACATCTTAGATGCTTCCTGTGTTGTCTGCTTCCTCCTTTTCTTCCCAGACTCACGTCCTGCCATGCCCTTCTACGCACTGGGTTCACGTGTTAAAGAATCCTGGTCTCAGCACTGCAGACACTGAGTAGCCCTGCTTCCTCTCTCAGAATCGTCACGTATGCTGATATTTCTGCCTGGGACACTCTTCCCTCTTCCCAAAAAGTCCCTTTTCCTTTCTGAGACTTAATGTAAACATCGTCTCCTTTGGGAAGCCAGTTTCTGAAGCACGTTGAGTATCCCCTTCACACTGAGACAGAATTCCAATAGAACTGTTTATCTCCACCATTACATTGCAAAAATCTCTAGACAGGATGGCTTTCATCTCTGGTCTTCCCATGCCCTAGTTTGTAGCCTGGTACATAGGAGACACTCAGTGAGGGTATGAAGGAATGAGTACACGTGGCATGGGGTTTAATGAGCTTATTTGAAGATACCTGACATTTTAATGTTTGAAATGGCTTATTGGTATCCTGTGCCTGATTTTAATTTATATGTTAAATGGTTTTACATTTGAGTGATTTATTTGGCTTTTTAAGAACATTTTAACTTTAGGTACTTTAAAATATTTTAAATACTGGCTTAGAAAAGAAACACAGTCCTGTCTTTCAGGCATTCAAAGTTTAATTAACGTGTACTTTTTCCTCTTGCTTCTGTATGTTCAAGGCCTACTGTGTGACGGAACCTGGCGCGGGCTCTGATGTAGCTGGCATACAGACCAAAGCAGAGAAGAAAGGAGATGAGTATGTTATCAATGGTCAGAAGATGTGGATAACCAATGGCGGGAAAGCCAACTGGTATGTTGCTCAGTCATCTCTGGGTGTTTCTTAATTGCTTGGAGTTCGGAATCTTCTCTTTCTTCTTCCCTTTATTTTTAAGACACTGTTACAGTTATGGAACTGGAAGATGTACATGCGATTATAAAGAGTTTAGTGATTTTCCAAAGCAGTTTTTAAGTCCCTGAACTATTTTTTCGGATTAACTCTCAGAAGTTTAATTTGTCAAATAAGAGTTCCTGCTCTGGGCCAGCCTGATTAGGAAGGCCAGCATTCCACCCACACCCCTCTCCCCCACCCGCACCTCCTTGGAACTCCTGAAACGCCAAAGAAGAAGGAAAGCCATGTCACTAGTTGTCAGATGTGCACAGAGGCTGCCTAAGACTTGAGTTGTCCATTAGGGAAGACAGTTGACTTTATAAAACTAAAAAATATATGGTCCAAAAATAATATGAAGTTCCATAAAAGGTCAAAAAGTCCTTTATATTTGTAGAAATGTAAAACTTTAAAGAAAAACACTTGCTAGCGTGTTGAAAATGAAAAGGAAAGCTTACTAAGTAGCTACAAGTTTAATCGGCATGAACAGTGTGAGTCTTTAAAAAGCTAATGGAATTTTAAACCATAGAAGCATAGCATCAACAGGAGAGGAAAACAGTGCCATTCTGGGCAGCGCATCTTTTTTTTTTTTTTTTTTGAGTCAGAGTCTCACTGTCACCCAGGCTGGTGTGCAGTGGCACACTCACGGCCACCCCAGAGTCGACCTGCTGGGCTCAGGCAATCCTTCCACCTCAGTCTTCCAAGTAGCTGGAACTGCAGGTGTGGCTAATTTTTTGATTTATTGTAGATATGAGGTATCGCCATGTTGCCCAGGCTGTTCTCGAACCCATGGGCTCAGGCAGTCCTCTCACCTTGACCTCCCAAACTGCTATGGGCAGTGCATTTTAAGACATGTGTTGAGAAATGGAATAAACACAGATGCAGGTCACTGACCTGTCAGGAGAAGCCTAAGCCATGGTGTGAAAAGATAATGCATGTGATTATTTTGGAAGAGTCTCAACATTTTTGCATACTATTACAGAGAAAGAAAAGCAGGCCTATGTGTTTACTTTAGAAAGCCAGATTATGTTTTTATTTTTATTTATTTTTTTGAGTTGGAGTCTTACTCTGTCATCCAGGCTGGAGTGCAGTGGCACGCTTCCGGCCACTGCAGCCTCGGCCTGCTGGGATCAGGCAATCCTTCCGCCTCAGCCTTCCAAGTAACTGGAACTACAGATATGTACCACTTCCTGGCTAATTTTTTGATTTATTGTAGAGATGAGGTCTTGCCAACTTGCCCAAGCCGTTCTCGAACCCCTGGACTTAGGCAGTTCTCCCACCTCTGCCTCCCAAAGTGCTGGGATTACAGGTGTGACCCACTATGCCTGGCCTCAGAAAGCCAGTTTAGAACTAATAGCTGAGAGTTAGAAAAATGTAGAATTTAACTCAATGTAAGGACTGGCTTTCCAGTAATAGTGCTGTTAAGTTGTCGTGGTAAATACTGTATTTATCATTATAAGTGTATCGTAGAGACTTTCTGGAAGAACTTTTTGTTGATTGAAATAATGTACTATAAGTTGTGTTTCTCCTCATCTGCAAAAATTCTGATTAAACATGTTTTTGTGCTGTATAGTACAGTTTCCTAGCAAGTGAAGCATCATTTTTGGGAATGAGCTTACGAGAAAGTTATTTACTTTAAACATACCAGTCAATGCCTTATTAGTATCCTAAATATGTTTAGTATTATGGAATGCTGAATCATGACTGTTAAGCAATTCACGGAAATATCAGCAAGTAATGAAAAAGCGAAGAAACTATTAAAGTTTAACAAGTTGAATGAAATTTAATACAAAGACAAGTTTTTAAGTTTAACAACTGATTACAGCTCGTTATAGTAAGACAAATTAGGTAATACATGAAACTAGAAAACAATTTTTGCTGTTTTGTTACTATTATTATTAAATAAAACTATAGAGTGAATGGTAGTGTATAAATGACAGAAAACACATTTGCTGTTTAAGGAAGAATATGCCTTTTAAAAAGTATATTCTATATGTACCAGGACATATAGAGCATGGGTTAGATGGATGTTTTGATGTTTGCATTGTTTTCCTTAGGTTTCATGTCAAAACCTTTCTGAGAAAAATCCTTCTAGATTTTTCCCTCTACGTATATACTTAGGATAAAGTTTAATTTATATATTAGGCCCAGTAAGAGATTAGCAACAACAATAACAAAGTAGAACACTTGTAGCAGCTACTGTCATAAGAGTTCAAGTGAATGTGTTTTCTCTCTCTGCACATCTTATTGGACTGTCTTGCAGGTAAGTGAAACCTGTGGGTGAAGGGGCCTGCTGTGGGCCCGGGTTGAAATCCTAGCCTTCCACATGCTGGATATGGGACTCGGGCGAGTGTTTAAGCCTGTCTGCCCCTTTGCCTCCTCGTGTGTGAAATAGAGGCAGTAAGGTGGGCATTGTTGGCAGGACTGAGACAGCAGTCACCGCATGTCATTTGCTGATAATCACTGTCACCATTACCATGTGTCTGCGTCAGGTACTTTGTGTTGGCACGTTCTGATCCAAATCCCAAGACTCCTGCAGGTAAAGCCTTTACTGGATTCATTGTGGAAGCAGATACCCCAGGAGTGCAGATCGGAAGGAAGGTAGGTTGTGCGTCGGTGACTAAGTCCTCAAATGTTACCGTCACTGTAAATCTTAAAATTCCTTCGCTTTCCTTTGATGAAAACATTTTGATTGTATGAAGTTAGAATAAAAATAAAGCTGTGTTTTGATGATATCAGGTCAGATAGTCCATGTGTTGCTGAGGATTTTGAGTTGAGAACAGTCATTTCAAGTTGTTTTGTGGGAGTAGCCGTTCATGGTGCCAGCCAGGAGAGAAAGCCGATGCCGGCTGTGAGGGACAAGGACGTCTGACACCGGGCTGTCATGCATATTGTCGGTCCCGTTTTAAGAGTCGTAGAGGTTTCCGAGGACTTCTCCACGCTTTTCCCCACTGGATCCTCACAGCAGCCTCTGGGTAGGACAAGTGGCCATTGTGCCCGTTTTACCGATGAGACGGTGAAAGCACTGTGACCCTGAGCCCGTGGGTTCGAGACCTGCCTGGGCAGCGAGACCTCATCTCTACAATAAATCAAAAAATCAGCCGGGCGTGGTAGCGCACACCTGTAATTCCGGCTACTTGGAAGGCTGAGGCAGAAGGATCGCCGGAACCCAGCTGGTCGAGGCTCCGGTGGCCGGGAGCGGCCACTGC